TATCGTGGGATGTATGGTGATTCCCACCTCTACTCCTTATACAGTATATCTGTAAGCCTGTCTGAAATCACTCATTCTTTTTTTACTTTAATGACCACTGTTTGAAAACTTTCACCAAATATTAGATATTAGTGATGCACAAATATTGGCCCTGATGACTGATATCAGTATGAGCAATTAAGAAAGCAATCAATTATCAATATCGGTAGATTAGAAAGGAGGATATAGAAAAAACATTACATCAAAAATGACCACAAAAAAATAGTGCTGGCCAGATTGTTATTTGGAACCTCAGTAATGGCTCAGAACGGCACAATCGGTACACCACTACCAACTATGCTGACTAACTGCTCTGCTGCCATCAGTACAGCGCTTAGAAATGTTGGAAGATTTAAGGGGGAAAAAAGCAATCTGTCACTCACACTCACACCTCTCTCTCTATCTCCGACACAGTCTGTCTCTCTCCAGCACTGGCACAACCTTTCAGCAATCAAATTAGCTACACTCCCTTCCCCAGAATATGTGTCAAAGGAATCAGCAGTTGGGCTATATTTGCTCCCAACTCATAATGTTAACCTTTCTGTGGCATATAGGCCCTAATTTATTATCAGTGCAGCACAGGGTAAAAAGATGAGGCTCGTTGTGTCGACAAGTTGCATCCATGCACGTCGCAGTACAAAGTAATAAACTGTAAGGTGTCCATCTTTCTTGGCTGACCTTCTTCAACCAAACGTCCCCGCCGCCGTTAACAATATGTTAATAATAAGGCTGCCTCGTAAAGGTACAAATTCTCATGCCGGCAAACCTTCCTTATAACAAGGCTGACGCCTGGAGGCTTCCCAGGTGTCAAGTTGAGAGTTCTGAGTTTCCTTTAAGCCGGGATTTTGTTTTCAGGTTCAGAATGACACCTTAGAGGCTTAATGACAATAAGCATGGCAGTTCGTTGTACAGTAAAGTCAGTGAGTGTGTGTTACATTATGAATCTGGGCATTTGTCTTGTTGTTTCTGATGATTACGCTTGGGTACATGAAACTCAAGTTTAACGACTTTTATCACAACACTGCTGATTTGTTTTTCTTCTGTTTCTAGCAGCACATCCCTCTGTGCTGGAAAACCCTGCCGTAAGTCACTAAAGTCACTGCTTTTCATTTAGGGTTTGCCACCTTTCAGTTTTACTGTTGATAAGACAAACAGAAAGTGTGAAAACCTCACACTTTCTGTAACATTTTAATATCCAAACACAATATAATAACAGTGCCAACTCCCAAATGTTAACGAGCTATAAATTTAAAGTAGCCCGATTTAATTTTTTTCTTTTACACATCTTTCTGAAACGAATTCTCAGCCTCTCATAGTTCAACAATGGATAAGAACATGGCAGATTTCAATGTGAGCGCTGAGAAGCCGCCGCTGCCTCTCGGCCCAGCCCTACGACTCACCACGCACTGCAAACCAGTGAATGTCAACAAGCAGAAATGAAGAAATACGGAACTTACATGCACACACATACAGCACCCCATACAGAGCTAAAGCATGCTGTAATATCCAGCTGTGAGTTCATTATTGAGCTTTGTGGTATCTGTGTCCCCTGTGGTATCACTGTGATATTACTACACAGATTCTGGATGCACAGGAGCTTGCAGGGTGTTTATCATACTTAAGGCATCCCTATCAAATGTAGTATCATTACAGAATTCCTACGGCGCCTCATATAATCCTTACTGAATTATCTGCACTGCCTTTTTTCTGGTTTTTTATAGGTTACACGAATCTCCTTTTCATTGTGAGTAACTGCAAGCATCCCCCCAAACTGTGTTACACTTAGTGGGGAGGGGACAAAACCATCCCCAAACCCACAGAACCAGTAATGTTATACATTATACAAAGTGAAAGGGCCACCAAAACCAGATAAATAAAATCCAGTCCTACTGTGTGAACTTTGAAAGTCAGTTTGTGAGTAAAAGCTACAGATGAAGTCAGTGAGAAATCCAAGTTCAAATGGAAAGCAAACCAAGTCTTGTTTCTGCTTTTTCTTTCCTGCTGTTTACTGTGATACTTTATGGCTTTACACCGAACACATCAGCTGAAGGTCAGAGATTAGCCAGCCTTTTAATTTACCGCTAGCTGCACTCCTTCGGTTTGACCTTTTCTCACTAAAAGGCACCAAGAGCCTGCTCGGAATCAGGCCAGGCTATTAAAAAGCGCTCGAACGGGTAAGTAGGTGACAGGTCAGCGCTCAACATCTGGACACCGAAACGCATCCAAAAACAACTGGAGCAGCAACACCCCGACTCCTCCGCTGCCGCTGTGCGTGATGCTTATTCTTCTTCTTCTTCTTTTTTTTTTTTAATAAATCGCCAATAAAAGCCGGATTGGGAACCAGAGAGAGACTCGAGGAAACCCGTGGAGGAGGCGAAGAGGGGGATGATAATCTTGCCGTAACATCGGGAAAGGTTGATGTAACCGGATTAAACCGAGCTAATGAAATACACCACAAATGGACGACTGGGGCAGGAGAGGGGATGGTGGGTGGGAGAGATGTATAGACGATGAAATCCAAAATAAAAGAAGAAACGAAGTCAAAGAAGGGAAGAGGTTCAAACTGATTTTTATCGGCTCTTCAATAAGATAAGATCTGAATTTTGCCGCTGTCCCAGCAGGAGCGACAACATGCGATCATACGATTTAAAAAAAAATGTTAATGTAACTATTAATGTAAACAGCGAACCTGAAGCACAGAGCTTTTTCCACCACCACCACATCCAGGAGCGCCGTTTCAACAAGTCTCAAACCCGATTTACAGGCGGACACTAAGGCGTTTGTCCCTGTCGACCCCCCCGCGCCTATAGATTTCCTCCCCCCTAAAAACAAAATTATGCCCACTGACATTTCCCTCAATGCAGCAAAGCGCGCTCCCAAAAGCCGATTTCCAGGGCAGTTGAGGGGGTGGGGGTGGGGGGTGTCATGTTTGAAGGCTGAGGGCGCGCGCCACCCTCCCTTATTAAAAAGCTCATCCGGCGCCGCGCACTCGGGCACGGGCCAACCTATAGCGGGGCAGCCGATTGGCCGAAGAGCAGCTCCATCTGCGCACGTGACTTCTTCTGCTTACAATAAATAAACAGCTATAGAATAATACTTCAAACGACTCCAAATGGCCCCGGAGCGCTCACAGCCTGGTTAAAGAAACTCATAACAGGCAAAGTATTCGCACACACAAGTTTGCAGGTGGAACAGAGGGCCCCACAACACGGCTCAAAGTTGGAGCTGAATCGTTTTTGGATATGTCCGGTGGGAGGCGGGCAGCGCCAGGCAACAGCCGTGCGCAAAGAAAAAAAATGACAGCTTCATGGAGACCCTATAGGCTTACTAGTGGACATTAGGCCCTACATACCCGGCACTTTGCTCCTCACACTTCAGCCAAAACGAAAACATACAGTTACCGGCACCCGCCGGGCGTCCGGACCGCGGCACACACACGCACACACACAATGCCAAGCGAGCTTACCTACACAGTGAATGAGTTTGTGCCTCCAAGAGTCAAGTTCCTGCCGAAAGCCGCGCCTCTCTATCGTGCATTGCTGCCTTTTGCACAGACTCGCCATTTTCTATCGGCCCCTCCCGTGGGCGCGCACATACTGCTGGGTGCTTCCCTGCGCGCACGTCACCGGTGGTTTTTATTCTAGGGCTGGGTGGAGAGCGATATGAGGGGGACGGGGCTGCAGCATCCCCCTTTCTATAGCGCTCATATGTCCCACCCACCAAAAGCGCCCCCTCCCATCCCTCCCAGCATCTCTCTGCGCGAGGGTGTGCTGCTGGCACTGGCCGTTTAATGAAATGTTGTGTGGAGTAGCCTATAGCACATGGCGCCTGCGCTCCAAATTTGCCATAGCTTACAGCGACGTGTGTCAAAGGGTTTCAAAATGCGCATTGTTTCAATCAACAGATGTGAGACACGTACAGCTGCCCCGGTACACGGGGAACGAGGTTATCACGGGTAAGAAGAGAAGTTATTTAGGAAAAAACAAACTTATACAGTATTATTTTTTTGAAGGCATCTATAAGCGCATTGGTGGGACGAGACCGTAAGGTGCCTGTAAGGAACTTTCAGGAAATCCAGCGCCAAGTCAAACATTGAGGTTACACATTAAACGTTCATAGGATACAGCTAATTAATTCATTACTATAACTTCTCTATTAAAGGATAGTATTGCCTTTCGGTAGTCTACTAAGTGGTCTTAAATTAATAAAGGCTCAACCATTAGCCTATTCCTACCCATCTACTGCAACTTGAGCGCATTTTTCATGTTCTCTGTAAGATGGAGCAAAGACTTCAGATCTACTAATGAGTCTAAAAGTTCCCTGGGCCCCAAAAAATGTATCATAATTGTTTCAACATATAAATATTAATTAATTAATTAATTGACAACTACCAGACTGCAGTAAATTATGCAAAGAACTGTGGGCTATTAGAAAGTTACATGTATTAAAATGTTGATATCAGTACTATTTTGAAAATCTGACTAATCTCATTTAAATGAAAGCTTATTTCCCACCAAAACACCTGAGCTCAGAGGCAAAAATGAGTCAAAATATCGCTTTGTTAGCTGTATTTTGGACTGATGCTGTATGACAGGGGGGAAAAAACACACAAAATACAAACCATACACATACTGCCAAACACTTGGCCATGTTCAGTCTTTCTTGCTGAATTTGTAAGAGCTGAGTCAATGATCCAAAGTTAATATGATCTTTTTTTTCAAGGCACAATTTGATTCAAGCATTTATGTCATTTTCCACAGGCTCATTACGCTTTCTATCTTGTTGTCCTTATGACAAATGCATTCATTTTTCACTCACATCATTTATTTCTCTAACTTAGACACTTAACGCCTGTCTTCATCTCCAAAACAAAAGCTGATAGAAATAGCAGAAGATTCTAAAATCTTGTCCACCACTTTTTGTGTCACTCTGAAGAAAAAAAGAATGTAATGTATTAATTTATAATGTCAGAAAACCAGTAAGTGGTCAGTAAAGGGAATTAAAAAAAATTCACGGTCAGGTTTACTACATTAAATACATGGTATCCTATTAATGCAAATAAGATATAAGTGTGCACTTTGTTTATGCACAATTTGAATTAGTCTGTATCTTAACAGGCACTGTGTACTTCATGCTTCTGAGATTAAGGCAGGTCTATTGCCCTGTCTCTCTAACTTGTCTAAATTGTGCAGAAATTGACCAAAATTTCAGAACAAATTTCATCTCATACTTTGTGCAGAATATAAATTGGGCTCTTCCATTTCCCTTCTATAGCACCATAACAGCTTCATATACCCAAAACACATGTTTGGCTCTACATTGTCTAGAGTTTGAAGGCTTGATAATTGTATTCTTTATTCTATTAGGCTAATATTGATAAATGATAATCAGTTTCTAATCACACGTGCTTCATTGTTGGCCATGACTAATTAATATTCAATAGCGGGTTAATCCTAGCCCCGGTTTCCCCTCAGGGAAACGAAAATGAGGTTAGCGGAGTTTTGCTTCATTTGGGTCACCTTGATTGTTTTTCTTTTCTTCTTCTTAGCTTTTTACTGAGTTAAAGGCTTATTAGCTTTGAATCTACATCACCTCATTTAGCAAACCCTCGTCACCTAGCGCAGCTGTTTTAAGGCATAAAGAAAACAATAAATCAAGTCCCATAAAACTTGCCAAAACGCGGGTCTAATAACCAAATTGAAACATGAAATGACAGGGTATCATTAAGGAGAACCCCGCTGCCGTTTTATAATCCTACAGAGACGCCGGGCAGCACATAAAAAACCGACAAGGGCAAATGCTTTAACGGAGCAGCACTCCGGCTAATTAAGTCGTTGAACCCGTTGCCCTCGACAAAGATGTCTCCTGCTGAGGGCTGGCCGGAGCAGAAGAGCAACCAATAAAAGGACACGTTGAGTCGAGGTGACACAAAGGTAGCCAATCGTATAGCGGTGCTTTAGAGCGACGCTGAGGCAGCTCTACCAGGAAACAAACAGCTACGAAAAAAAGGCTAAATAGTCGCTATCCTCCAACTGCTCTCTTGTTTTCAGCGATGTAGAGAAAAGAGGCTGAGCTGCTCTTAAATAAAACAGGTAAAAAAATTATTATTTTTTGTCTCCAGGCCCGCTCACCGTGTGAATGCGTGTGTGTTTTGGAGGCTGACAGCGTCATGCCGGCAGGATGAAAGGGATTAGGGCGCCGTTACTGTGGCAACATTAGATGGAGGGATACGCACACCTCCTCCCGTCTGCTGACAGCTGCCTGTTGGCATTGAACAATTAGCCTGTTTTGCTTAATAAACGGACCTTGGGTGTTTTCTCTTTTATGGAGTCGCCCAAATGTTTCTTTGATGCTCCTTTCAGCGGCCGTTTGTCTACATACTCATTTTGAAGCAGCAAAAAGAAGATAGCATGCCACTGAGAACCACAATAAACACAGCCGTGTAGTAGTGTTTGAGTAAAATTAGAGTTATAATAATATAGCTATATTAAACACTACCAGTAGACAAATAATACCTCTTATCACAGCAAAGAAATCCAAAAATATAACAGGTAACAGAGTATAACAGGTGATATAACAGGTAACAGAGTATAACAGGTGATATAACCGGTCACTTTTAACAGCAAATTAGCCTACTGTACAACTATAGTCTTGTTCAGGATTTCGGAACTTACATTTAGTTTAGATCTATAAGCGGTAACCATCAGTTAACCCACACAGTGTAAGCAGAGAAGCCACAAAATGTGCAGTGTGAGTTAATGTATCAAACATGTTTAGCAAAAATAACACTTTTGTCATCTCACACGGAAATCTCATATTTAAGGAAACATCCTGTACCAAGTTGTTTGAGATGAAGACAGTGGACACCTCTTTCCACATGGTGACCACCTGACCCCCAAATATTTAGAATGTATAGAGAGAAAAACACTTGTGGCATGTATGATCTTATAAAACCAGTTGCAACCATTGTTTCTTATAAAACCTTAAGGCAGGTAAGTGCAAGAAACATTTTTTGTTGTTATAGATTGAAGAAAAACATGCAGAAACTGTCTGCTTTCAAACAGCTGTGTGGCCCAAAAAGAGAAACATGGTGTAGAAAAGATGGTCTGGTTTACCCCAGCCTCAACTTTAGAAACTATATGAGATATACGTGACATTCAAAGAATGTGAGATTTTAGTAAAACTAATTAACTTCTGTAAATCCTGTAATCAAATTCCAAAGTCTGATGGAAAACATGATGCCAGAATAACAAAGGCTCTTATGGTAGCAGATTAATACGGGTGGTTTTGAAATCAGATGTTTAAGGTTTCCACAGATTTTTAGCCAGCAGTGATTGAGCATTGAGCATGTTTCTAATAGTGGGGGCAGTTGTGCATGTGTAGTTTTCCTGCCTGCATAATCTGAGTTTGATTGCCCTGCAGGCTGGCTGCAGTATTCAAATGCTAGCAATTAATCCATGATAGACTGAGAGGTGGTAGTATTATTTAATAAACTCCCAGCTCAGTGTGTATCAGAATGCCAAAACTACAGCTGCAAAGCTCCTGATAATGTTTCTTTGTGTCATGTGCGGCAGCAGGACCCATGACCCTGACACGAGGATCCTTTACTTACTCCAACGGCGAGGAGTACCACGGGGAATGGAAAGAAGGCAAGACCCACCTGCTCAGTCACCCACCCATCCTCCACCACTGACTACATTTCATGAACAGCACACGTGTTGTTATAATGTGATTAAGACTGATGCTCAGGCAGGGGAAGAACCAAATAATAATATGATAATGCTCGTAATAATTATATACATAATCTGCAGTAACATATGTGGCGTGCTTGACTTATGCCCTATTCAGGATAACAGACATCTATTCTGACATCTTACCAGCACAGGGACATTTCTTGATTCGACACACTGTACAGTTGTACAGTGATATCGCTACCATCAATTTTAAGAGAGTCAAAAATCAAGGGGACCAATTTTCCCACGTGTGGATATCTTGAAAACATCCCTTGGAAATTGCTAGCTTTTGTTTCTAAGTGAAACACGGCTGTCAGGTAAAGGAGGAACATTACCTTTTTCAATCATTTAATCAATAAAAATATTAACAGATGTTACATGCTTCTGTGGGGAAAGTAAGTACACCTTTTGCCTCAGAAGCTTATCTGGCTCCCTTTAGCAGAAATAACTTCTTGTAGGCGTTTTGCATAATAGTACATCAGTCTCTGACATCAGCTTGCTGAAATATTTGACCATTCTTCAGTGTAAAATTCCTTCAGTTGCAAGATGCTTGAGGCTTTTATTGCATGCACCCCCCACCACCACCACCACCACCACCACACACACACACCATTTCTGTAGGATCCACAGCATATTTTTCTTACAGCGGAATTTATTTAATTTAGAGCAGTTTTTAAAAAATGCATTCACACCCTTTTTCTGAATGTCAAAGGGAACAGCAGGCTGAAGATGCAAGAAGTTTAAATTACACAGGTTTCACTTGTCTGTCCCTAAGGAGGTTGTTAACATTGGCTGATGCAAATTTTATGCATCTCAATGTATGATAAAGGTATGAATGTAATTATTTTTTTAATGTGAACGATATGCTATTTTCTAAATCAAAATTATGGTAATAACTTAAAATGCATGTGTTATTTGTTAAATCACATTATATTCATATACAATAGCATCAAAAGTACTTCCGTGGGATGTATAGAAATACAAGAAAAGAATTCAAAATATAGTAATTCAAGAAAAAAAAGTAAATTATAGAACTAGCGTGTTGAAAAAAGTAGCACACGACTTAAAAGTGAAAATCTTGTGGTGGTAAGGAAACAGAAAGAAAGAAATAAAATGTGTCTCTAGTTTGATAATCAGTTGGAGCCTCCACTCCAGCATTCATGTGCTTGTAGAAAGGCTGAACAGTGTGACATCCAAACAATCGAGCACTCCCTCCAGTTCACTTTTTGAACTGTAAAGCTCTGCACCATCAAAGAAACCATGACAACCCAACAATATCCAGAGCCTTCAGCAGTTCAGGGTAACTTTCCAACCCCTGTGCCTTACCACTGTGAAGCATTTTACTGTCTAAGTGATGTCCTGTGGAGGCACAGCGCTGCACAAAGGTTTAAGCCTCTTTAGATATTTATAGTCATGGTAAAAAGAAAGTACACCCTCTTTCATTTCTAAGATTTTACATATCAGGACATAATAAAAGTCATCTGGTTCTTAGGTGAATGAACTACAAAACATGCCATATTTTACTGTGACACCATTTCTGTAAAAAACTAAGCCACAATGCAGAAGCAGTGTATGGAAACCTTAGGTACGCTCCATGATTCAGTAGCTTATAGAACTCCCCTTACCACCAATAACTTGAGGTAATCATTTTCTGTATAACTTTATGAGTCTGTCACATCATTGTGTGGATTTTGAGTCAACGACTGAAAAGTCGTGTAGCTGCAAAACAAACTCAAATCATCATCTCTCCACCACCATGCTGGTAGGAATGGGGAATGAGTACTGGTTCTTGTAAAGAACCAGTTCAGTTCCTTTGGAATTGTTGGTCTGCTTGCCTATCGATCTGGTTTATCGGTTCCACTTGCACTTGCTCTACAATCAGCTGATTTTAGTTCGTGTGCCAGAGGAGGAAAAAGGTGGTGCAGTCTACACCACCTAGATGAACATAATTTTTATTTTTATTGCACAAAAGCACGAGAGCTTGATGGTAAAGTTAAAACTGCACCCAGACCTGAAAGGAATGCATTATGCTGTTAACACAACTTTGATGGTTTACAAGCATGCTAAGTATCTGCAGTGATATTTCAGCATCTACAAATGTGGCAAGTTTTTAAAAGATGCTTTAAACAGCTTACATTATAAACTGTGCAAAGCTTTATCTACAGTTAGTGTTGTTATGTTAAAGGTCAATGAAATCACAACAAATATTCAGTTTTGATTTTTTGTTTAAAAATCTTACAGCACTTTGAACCTTATAGTGTTACCTTCGTAGTTACAGTACTGTATAAGTGTGTTCACATATGAACTGCAGCCCAAAACTTGTACCTGGAATGCTCCTAATACAAAGTCCACATGATTTATAGCCACGTGACAGTAAGCCCAGATAGCTTTCAGGTAAATTCATAGCCTCTGAGTGGGCATCACATGTCAGGCCTCTCGCACGCCCCTGGTCAAAACAGTATTTTCAGTAGCAAGAACACGACTGAAGTGAACCATCTCATGCTGTGTGCTACATGGGAAAAAGAGCAAAGTAGACAATATCCAACCCCCGATTCTTCTGAAACTGCTTCAAGTTCAGGTGTCATAATTGTTTATGCCTTTCCTCACATATTTAAGTTTAGTCATACCAAGGCCCCATGAGTATCTTATTTAAAGAAAAACTCCCTTTCCAGGCTTGTATCCTAAAAAAGACTCTGCTTGTCGCTGATCTGGGCTACCACCCTAGCTGTCCATCTAAAAAGTTCCCAGTGTGACATAAACACAGAATGGTAAATGGCCTGTATTTGTATTTATATAATCCCTAAGGACCCCAAAGCACTTTACACTACATTCAGTCATCCACGCATTCACACACTGGTGACAGCAAGCTACATTGTAGCCACAGCTGCCCTGAGGCGCACTCACAGAGCCGATTACCGGCGCCACCGGGCCCTCTGACCACCACCAGTAGGCAACGGGTGAAGTGTCTTGCCCAAGGACACAAGACCAAGACTGTCGGAGCCGGGGCTCGAACCGGAAACCGTCCGATTACAACACGAGCTGCCAACTCTTGAGCCACGATCGCCCCACCAGAATGGGTACTACTACCTTACAGTCATTACAGTAATGGATGAACAAATGAAACGTGTAGCTACAGAGCAGGTGTTCATTGAGTTTGGGTGTCCAATAAGCTCATAAATGCATTAATCTGTTACTCCTGCTGGATTTCCTGGATTGCATTTTATCGTCTCACTGGCTTCTTAAACAACACCCCACCGCCACCACCACAGCCCCATGTGTTGTTCTAATGCATTGTTGTTTTCAGTTTGAATCCCCCCCTGAGAATACCTATTAGCTTAAATGGATAATAGGGATGTCAGTAAAATATGATAAAAGAAAGTTAACTCCAGCAGCTTTTAATTAATGTGAGATTTCATGTCAGAATGGAGAGTCTGGAAAGAAGTGGGTGTACTGTAAGTGAGTCACAACAGCAAAAGTACTTTTGAAATGAACCTGCACTCTCACCCAAACAGATTGTATCTAATAGGGGAAAAAACACAGAAAAAGGTGTCAAGCTAAAGTCAGTAAGTAATCTACACACATATGCACATATGGACCATCTGGTGCCAGTGAGCCTGCTGAGACAGGATATCACACTACCTAAACCAGCACTTGTACTATAACAAAAACAGTCAGACAACCTTTAGGGCAAGGTTAAACAAAGAACAAAAGTTTGGCACTGAAGTGTGCATGAGGCTGCGGGAGGAAACATATGTCCTCCGTATGATTAGCAAAAAACTGTTAAACTGGTTTTGGCTGTGATGCACTGATATGCTCGGGTTTTAATAAACAGCAGGGGTGGATTAAAATTTTTTTTTAGATCAGACATTTCAAAGTGAGAAAAAATTAGTTCACTAATAGACGGAGCGCTGCGTTGGCAAGAACTGCTTGGATTTCTTCCAGACATTTTATTTACATGTATATCTAAGTATATGTTCAATATGAATCTTCAAAAAGAGGGCAGCAGCAGCTGATTCTGTAAAAAAAATTAAAAAAAAGTTATACTCCTTTGGAGCAGGGACCTCGTATGTGTTATACACGGTTTGGGGTTTGCTACCAAAATAAGTTAATGTATTACACATTATTTTTCTTTTCTTTGAAGAAATGTCCCTATCCTAGTGAGTAACACATCAACGAGATCTTCCTTTTAATGTTTAAGTACAAACACAAAGTTGAAAGCAAAGCTGAAAACCAGCCCAAAAGAGCACTCCGCAGCGATCAACATAGAGCATCGCTATATCGCTGTTTCTACTGTGGAAACAGGTTTGAGTAAAAAGAGAGATTACAGTTCTACAAGCCAGCTCTGCTGTGGTTACCTGTTGAAGGCTCTGGCTCCTTGGCCGGTGTCAGCATCCACTCAGCTTTAAAATCACTGGTTTGGCACACAGGCTATGCAACTGACCTGTTATTAGCAGCTGTCCTGGGCGCAGTTTGCTCTTTATTATCACATGAAATTTGTCTTTTCATGTAACAAAAGTTCAGGTGTCCATTTCTGAGATTTTATACGTTGTAGATGAATTTTCCTTCTTCCACCACAGAAACTAAATTTAGTTGATTGTAGCGCCAGCATGCAGGAAAAAAAGGCATGTGTTATGACTTTTTTTCTATTTGCCTAATGTGCAGATAATTGAAGAACCATTATAATGCAAGTAGTAATGTAATTACTGAATTTAGTATAGCAATATGTTACATTACTGCATTATAGAAAGTTGCATCCATAATTAATGGCTCCAGACAACTAAAACACTACAATTTCAGACATTTTTTCCTACTATTTAATATATATGATGTCACAGAGAGGATATTCCTAATATGGTCAACTCAGCTAACACCGTAAGCACAGGAGGGCCATCTAGCTGCTGTTGAAACATTCTATCTGTGAGTGCCAGCCAATGCGAATAAAGTTGTCTAAATGGGAGGAGCTAAAACAGCTTAGATAAATAGACAGTGAATGAAATGTAGGGCTGCACCAAGGCCCAGTATAGGATAAATAAGGATTATCTGAGCTGTAAATCCTGAAAATTGACTCTACTGGAAGGCAAGAATTGAAAAAAATATTGAATTTTTGCCCAAGCTAGTTTGTTCTTCTTAGAACTTCTCGAGTGTTAAATCACTTCAGATTCTGGTCACTTTTAAAAACATAGTTAATATTAAAGTTAATATTTACAACACAGATTGTGGAGAAAATCATGTAGTCATGGTCACAAGGTCCACATTCTTTTTTAGCTTCAGATTCAAAAACATAATGGTCACCCTTGACCTTTCGACCCCTTATCCGTAGTAAAATATTACCTTGCACCTTGTTTTTATTGATATTTCTACTATACCCAAAGCATCTCGTTCTTATCTTCAGCATAAGCCAGATGAAGATGGTACCTTTACCAATGTTACATAAACACACTTCACATACACTTTGCACATTCTATTTATTTTAACTCGAAAATTTCTATTGACCCTGCTGAATTGGTGCAATAGGATGCAATTGGGTTTTGATCGCCGTGTTGTCATAAACACAGACCAATGCACGTTGCGCATCCTGTCTCTGCGTCCATGCATGCAAAGTCACTGTTTGCACACAAACATGTAGGTGTGTGTCAGACAGAGGTCTACGGTGTCACATGAATAATTCAGCAGTGCGCTGGTTGAACATAGGCCCGAGAGCTATCAGGTTACAGGAAGTAGGTTGGGTGCATCCACAACACAACAGCCAAGGCACAGCCAGAAGCCATTTACTACTGTACTTTGCCCATGTGGTCATTTAACATCTATGCATTACCGCTATTGATTGACATAAAAGCCGGACAAATTCAGCTAAACCGTAATTAGCTGGAGACCATGACCCAACATAAGATTGGAGAAAGGCGTTACAAAGAAGCTGAACAGCAGATTAGAGTCTGGAGGGATCAAATTGGAGGAGACAGAGGAAATTACTGTCCCTTGCCACAGCTGATAATCTGTACCTTCATTTAAAAAAAAAAGAAAAAGAAAAGAAACCTTCATAGTTGTCAGCAAAACACTGACACTTCTACCACTCAATTTCATTCGATAACACAGCTGTTGAAATTCTTGGTGGGAGATGCTGCTGTTGGCACACCGCAGCCTCTTTGACACCTAACAGATTGTTATATTTCAGCAGCTAGTCTGTGAAATTTCTGCCTCAGGGTCTCACTCGCTTGTCAAGGTTCATGGAGGCTGAAGAGTTGGATTTAAACTGCTGCTGGCCGTCTTCTGTATTCATACTGTTTGCTTTATGATCTCCAGCTAATACACACACACACCAGCATATATATATGGATTCTGGATCTTTTGAGGCGACTTTGAAAATCGAATGCAGAGCTCCAGATTTAGTTTCATCCAAATCTCCCATGAAAACCCTGCCAAGATTAGGCAGAGAGCAGCACTTTAAGCAGGCCTAACAGATGGACTGCCTAATTTACCCATGAGCTGTGAGTAAGGGACAACACTCACTAGCCCCACCCCTGCCAACAGTTCGTTTCCCCTTCAATATATGAAGCCCCCAATCTTCCACTCTTCTCTCCACTCCACCAGTTTCTTACCACTTGAGCTCCCATTAAATCCTCTTCCTCTGCCATGAGCATACCGGGACCTCCTCTGCCCGTGTCCAACTGTGCCTCACATCCAGTTATTCTGCTAATTCCCGCTGGGCTTGCTAATAGAGGTTGGCAGGGAGAAATGCTCACTCCTTTTCCCTCCATTTCTTCATCGACTGCCATCCTCCTGATGCTGGAAATTAGTCTGAGAATTAGAGGGAAAATTGGGTCTCACCTCTCAGGGAACATTTTAAGAGGTGAAAAATGAAAGCTAGCAGCTCACCTTTTTGTCTGCTCGCACCAATTATGAATCTCCCAATCTGCTAACTCCAAAATCTAATTAAAGTATAATAACACATCTGCCATCTCTCTCTCTCTCTCTCTCTTTTCTTCACTCAGTGACTTCTACTGAAAACTGTACAGGTACCAGTCAGGTTTTGAGTCTTCAGCGTTGCATAGTGCAAAGGGTCTGAATGCTTTTAATACATCTTTTTGTTTTGTGTAAGATAATTCAGACCAAGTGCATAAATAATTAAAGAAAACAGTGAATATAAAGCAGCGTAGTTGTGAACAAACTATTTGCTGAGATGCTGCCTCAGCATTTTAATTTAGGAAAAAAAATGAAGTACATTTTTGTTGTTGCATTTATTTAAACAAATTGGATACATAGTCTTTTGATTAGTGTATAGACATGACAGTTCTATCAATCTAATTTCTTTCATTAACGTTTGGATTTAAAGTAAATGCCATAGATGTAAAAGATGGGCAGAGCCACTATGAGATTACCATTTGGTTTCTGGACTCTGGCATTTTTTCTTTGTT